CTCTACTCTACTAGTAATAAGAGGTTATGGCTGTCCAAAAAGTGGCTTTGTTGTTTAACTTGGGGTTTGTTGGCACACGCGCCGTTCAAGGCAATGACTGTCGGCGCTGGCGTGGGGTGGGCATGCTGGCAACGCAGCAACGGCGATAATGACTGAGATCGACACGCTCTTGTCCCAGTTACGGCGAGTAGGTCTAAAATGTGATGCGGCAGACTCAAGTACTCGGCAGTGAGGTCACCTGGCAACGCACTAGGCCAGGCGCCAGTTCGCTTCACGTGCAGGACGTCAGTACTTCTTACATTCTGGAGCAAGTTCAGTACATACCGACAACACGATAATCAACAAGATTCTCGACTATGTCCCAGGCACTGCCTTCTTTGCTGCCTGGTGCCCTTGCCCACTTGACTGCTGGTCGCATGCGTCGTGGCCAGCCAAAGCCTTTTTTTTTGCAGCAGCATTGAACGCCTGGGGCAGCATGCCAGCCCCAGGTGTTGTGCCAGCGGGCCGTGTCAAGCGATTGGCACCACTTTGGTTGGTACTTCTCTTGATCCAGGGGGATGCCACGCGCACGCCACCCAGCCGCCCAGTGCACGGCAAACGGTGGAGTGCCAGCACGCCGGCGAATAATTATGACAAAGAAACGGTGCCTTGTACCGTGAAAAAATGAGCGCAGCGGCTTGGGGCCGCTGCAAATGCTGCTGCAGTTGCTGTAGATGGCAACAAAATCGCCACTTCATCACCTTGCCTTGGCTGCACTGGCCTGCTGATGAGGATGGCGTGCTGCTGCAAGCCGTTCCCACTGTTACCGCCTCCGGGCATGCTGGGACGCGTATCAGCCATGCTGAAAGCTAATGTACAAACACATGCTTAGCAGGAACAAGCTCACGGCCAGGTGCCATCAGTCCTATAAGAACCCTGCACCACAGATGCAGGCGAGGCGCCGCCAGGGTGGGGCTGTGAGTGTGGAGGGCTGGGTGTTGCGGAGCACGTGTAATACCCCATCGCCACCTTTCTGTCAATGGCACGGGATCACGGGGCACTCACTCCGAATGTGGCCCTAGTCAGATCGGCGGAAGACTCTGCGCAGGTCTGCCATGTCCTGATCGAACTCCTCAGGTGCTGCTGCGATCCGGCTGGTCTCAAAGTCCAGGAACCACACCTGCGTGCGCGCCGGGGACGATCGAAAACTTTGGCTGGCATGCTGGATGCGCTGTTCAAGTCAAAGCACGCACTTGCACGTGCACGCACGTGCGCACGCGCGCGCGTGCACGCACACACACACACACACACACACACACACACACACACACACACACACACACACACACACACACACACACACACACACACACACCACTAGCGCGTGGCGCACGTGTCGCCTATTATATCCTACGTTGCGTGACTTGACCATCAAACAGCGGAAACGGAGCCGTCTGGCTGGTGATGGCTCTAGACTTTCCAGGATGCGGTATGAGGCGCTCAAAGAGCCTGGATTTCCCGAGAACCGCCGGGCAGCCTCACCGGGGCCTGCCACAGAGTGCAAAGCACGACAACACGGGCAGGTAGAGTCTTCAAAAAGAAAGGCTGGCGTATGTCACTTGGGACCTTCATCCTTGGACACCCACACCCACCTTGAAGGAGCGACCCTTCCTTGCCACCAACATGTTTCTCCTGCGGACGGCGCGGTGCACCACGCCCATCGCGTGTATCTTGCGCAGAGCCTGGGGGGGGGGTGTGACGTCAGTTGCACCGACATCAGAGCCCAGGGTGTTGTCGTAGTCGTTGGGCCACTGTAGCCACGCGTGTAAGACGTGGCCACAGGTGCCCGTTGATTGGGGCCTTACTTGGCTGGCAGTATGATGGCACGCATCGTGCAGCACCAACTGAGTTTGCTGTGTTGTGCCTGTGCACGGCTCCCTCTCTGCCATCATCTGGCCCCCATACCATGTAACGCACGCAAAATCCACGATACGTTGAATACATATATTTGTCGGCTGCACAACACAGGTGCCCATGGCCCCGCACCTTCTCGGCCTCAGGGTACGCGTCGGCTGTGGCAGAGCTGGGCTGCTCGCCTTCCACCACGGCCGTGGCCAAAAAGAAGAGGTACTCGTCCCTCCAGAAGCCGCCGGCCAGCAGGTCAGGGATCACCTTGCCCTGCAGCGCAGCCAGGTGCTCTGCGTTGCCAGCAGCATCATGGAAGCGCCAAGGCGGTGCAATCGTCGGTCAAGACGCCGCACGCCCCCAAGGGAATCTGACAGGACTAGCGGCTCCCAAAGCAAAGACAACGCCGGCCACACGATGATCAAGGAGCGCGCATGGCATGTCCGCAGCAAAGCGGGGTGACGTTGGCCGTCGTGGCTGACAAGGTCCTGTCGCGGGGCCGTGTGCGCGCGAGGCGTCGGCGGATAACGCACCATACACCAGGACCTCGTTTTTAAGGTCTGCCACAACATCACGCTGCTTGCAGCCGTCCGCCATCTTCACCACGCAGCGTTGGCCGAGAAAGCTGCGCAAGCAGGGCGGAGTGTGGGGTAGACCACTCTGTGAGGTGGCATGTTGCCGGCCACAACACAGGCACAGCAAGAAATGTTTGTCAGGCAGGATCCTGGCAGTGTACGCGGGCGGCAACAATCGCAATGTGACGATGCCGTGTTGAAAGCACCAGGGCTGGGTGTTTCAGTGCCACACTGATCGCTCACCTGCCCAGCCTGACGTGGTAACCCCCCAGAACAGTGTCTGAGACCTGGACAGCTTCCTCTGGGTGCAGTGTGAATCGGTGGCCCAGCGGAGTATTGGGGCCCGCTGCAGATACTGCGAGGCAATGGGGTAACCCAGGTGGAGGCCATGAAGGGTACATGCAAGGATGGGAGGGAAGAGAAGCACAGCTTGATTATGGTTGCCAACGAGGCGTGCAGCACTGCTGCGGTGCTGCAAGGCTGCCTGCCGGCGGGGACCGTCCAAGCTTGCGTCACGACAACGAAGCTGCACAATGGCAGCTGTTGTGTTGCGTATGGTGGGGCGGCCTGTCAACATCGACAATAGGGACCTCTGCTGCATGGGTCCGTCCACCTCCACAAGGCCTGGCTGGGAATGCAGCGTCGGGAAGGTTGCCAGACGCGCCATCACAAACCCATGCGGCAGCGCACCTGCCGCTGTGAGGCACGCACGTGGCCAGGCACAAGCCGTGGAGGTCAGATGTGATGGAGGGGCAGAAATCGATGCAGCACGCGATTGGAAAGATTGCGGCGGGATCAAGTGGGGAGGGACAGGGGAGCACCGCTGGTGAGCTGAGCGGCGTCAGCATCGGAGTCTCAGACAGAGTCGGTTGTGCTTGCACGCCGCGGCCGGCACGCTCGCACCCGCCGCCGCCTTGATGGTTTTCCAGTGGTATCCAGTGCTGATGCCGGCTGCTTCGAAATCCTTCGAGTGTCCATTTGCCAGCTCGAGTGTACTCCGCATGCGGCTCGCCCACAGCTGCTCTGCGTACTCGCCATATCCGCTACGTATTATTTCCAGATACATTCTCAACGAGTCCACAGTCGTGAATTGCATGCGAGCCGGCGTGTAATGCGCCTTGCAGCCACCTGCAAGACGCTGACAAATAGTTTATAATAGTAGTAATCAGAGGATATGGCTGTCCAATTAGTGGCGGCGTGATTCACTTTATGTTTGTTGGCAGACGCGCCGTCGGCAATTATGTGAGCGCTGGAAGTCAAGCGGGGTGGCATGCTGGCATTGCCGCAGATGATCTACACTGAGAGCGACACGCTTTCGTCCCAGGTGATGCAGCAGGGTTGCTGCGGCTGGGGAGCCTGCTAGCCGTGGCCATGCAGAACCTCGTGCCCGCTCTCTCCCAAACAATGCCCAGAGCCGCCTCTATCTAGCATGCAACCTGCGTCGCCTGACAAGGACGATGACTTACCAAACTGGCCAGGACACACTGCCATAGGGACGAAGGTTGTGTGGCGGGATGCACATGGCAAGGCTTGGGTTGGGCTCACACCAGCAGCAGCAAGAGTTCAGCCCAAGCCCGCAGCAGGATTCGATGCATGCGCAGAGCTCAGCGGGAGGAAGTCTGTCACGCCCATGTACACGTGGTGTGCAATATGGGTCCCGCCAGCAAGCAGCGCGTCTCATGATTGGCAGGACTGTGCCCGTCAACAACAGCCAGCACCCAGCACCAGCCTGCAACCTGAGCATGCAGCTGCAAGAAGGCCCTCAGCCACCTTTGAAGATAGGTTGCACTTGCCGTTTCCCGAAGGAGATCAGCAGCTGCTACGGCAAGTAGGTCAAATTCTTTGATGTGACAAGCGCAAGCGTTCAGCAGTGAGGTCGCCTGGCAACGCGCTCGGCCAGACGCCAGCTCGCTGCAAGTGCAGGACGGGCGTGGTGCGTAATCACTAGCGGCATCTGGCATGCCACCAGGGCTGCGTTGCATGCATCAAACACACCAGTTCAGCACCGTAGATTGTCAAATTACATTGTTTTGCTACCTTGATTGATTGCATAACGGGTCACGTGTGTGTGCTGTTGCGTACAGTGGGGGCCAGCATCCAGCCGCCCATCCGCTTTGAAGCTGCCCTGCGCCTGTTCTGACAGTGGCACACCACAGTAGTGACCTGCATTGCGCCCGTCTGCAACGTATGCCATGTAAACTCTCGACATCGTTCCATCGTGCCTGATAAATCGAATACATGAAGCGAGACCACGGGTGTGAAGCACAGAATTAGAGGCGGAGCTGGAGCTGAGAGTGTAGGACCGACATCGTGTGATATTGTTGCACACAATCACAGTGCGTGTGTGGGGGCGTGGTGTGCGGCTTCTACACCACACACCCCTTGTGCCCCGGTGCACAACGCTCTATATGAACCCCCTAAGTTGAACCTATGAATGCATAATACCATAATTTAGGTGCTTGGCTGGGAGGAGAAGCCGGAGGTTGCTCTAGCAGCGTCGGCGCATAGCCGCAGACCGACACCGCGAGCAGCGCCGCCGCGCTCCCAGCAGCATCCCCCATTCGGCAGCGCAGATGGCGCTTCTCGCCGAGCGCATTGCGACCATAGTGTCCCTGGCACAGGCGGAGGCCGCGCCGGCTGAGGTCGACGCTCCAGTGCTCGCCGCAGACGTTCCCATCGGGCGGGTTGCCGGCGCGCGCCTTGCCACGTACTCGTTCGCAGCCGACGGCCCCGCGCCGTTGCTTGGCGCGGTCGGCGGCCACGCAAAGGCTGAGAGCAGCAGGTGGGTGCGGTCGTGATGCGGGCACAGGCTGTCACATCATGCGTTCGGGCTGCCAGTGACGTGGTATATTGTCTGGTTGGGTGGTTGGGCGACCCACCGGCTGCAACCATGCCGCTCGCTCACACGCGCTCCCACCTTCCCCCCCCGCCCTGCGCCCCTCAGCAGCGCCGTCCCCCTGGCGGCCGCCGAGCTGCCGCCGCTGGCCCCCGAGGCGGCCCCCGGTGCACCCAGCGGCGGCGAGCTGCGGCGCGGCCCGGAGGACCCCTGCTCCCCGGGGCGCTCGCTCCTGGATGGCCTGCTGCTTGCCCACTGGGAGGACGCGGCTGCCAAGGGGCTGCTGCGCTATGACGTCATGGCGTGCCCCACCAAGGTGCTGCCGGGTCACCTGGGGTTTGTGGCGCAGCTGAACGAGGGGCGCGCCACCAAGAAGCGGCCGACCGAGTTCCGGGTCGACCAGGTGTGGGGTGGCCGTGGGTGCAACTTGGTGGCCGTCTTGGATGCCATGATGCAATGGAACGGCGACCTCGAACCCACGCTTGTCTGCCTGCGCTTCAGACACACCAAGCAGCAGCCCCTGCGATGCCGCCGCCGGCAGCGGGGCTGCGTGGCGTGCGCTCGAGGCGGCCGTGCGGCGTCGCAGAACAGCGAGCGTTCGCGGCGTGCTGTGGGGTTGGGCCTGCGCATGGTGCCGCGATGAGCAGCGCCGACGGGCGAGGCAGCGGGCACGAATTGGCATGCCGCGGCGCGCCAGGTGCGATTCCTGTGCCGCCCGGCTCCTGCCCGGTGTACCCCTCGACCATGGACCCCCCGGTGCTCCTCCCATCTTCAATCTTGGTGCTCGCCCCTCACAGGTCTGCCAGCCGTTCGACCCCTCCAAATTTAACTTCAACAAGGCCTCCCTGAAAGAGGCCCTCTTCGCCTTCAAGCCCGCCGCCCCCGGCGCCCGCGCCTCGTTCGCGCCCGCCGCCGCCGCCTCGGCCTCCCCCAACCTCGTGCTCGTCAACGTGTCCCCCATCGATTACGGGCACGTGCTGCTGTGCCCGCGGGTGCTGGACGAGCTGCCGCAGCTGCTGGACCGCGAGTCGGTGCTGCTGGCGCTGCGGTACGCGGCGGAGGCGGCCAACCCGCACCTGAGGGTGGGCTACAACAGCCTGGGGGCCTACGCCACCATCAACCACCTGCACTTCCAGGTGCGTGAGGCGGCTGCGGCGCGCTGGTGTGTGTGTTTGTGTGTGTGGGGGGTGGGGGCTGCACGTACGGGCACGTTTGGATGTGTCTGTGTGTCTGTGTGTGTGTGTGTGTGTCTGTCTGTGTGTGTGTGTGTGTGTGTGTGTGTGTGTGTGTGTGTGTTTGTGTGTGTGCGCGCGTGTGCAAGGGAAGGTGTGATGTACCATTCTTGGACGGGGTGGCGGGGTGGCGGGGTGGCGGGGTGCGTTGGAGGGAGATGGGCCCTTTTTTTATCAGAGTGAAGTCGCCGGTCGATTGGTTGAATCGGGCTGCCGGACGGGTGGCTTCCAGGGTGGGGAGTCGCACCCCAGGGGGCCCGCCTTCACGCCAATGGCTTGACGCGCCACCGCCCCTACCTCTCACGTCCTCGTGCCGCCTCTCGTCCGCCCCCCTCTCCATCTCCACTACCTCAAACCGGCAGTCATACTACCTCAACACCACCATGCCGATCGAGCGCGCCGGCTCCGCCCCCGTCCACGGCATTGCGCCCCGCGCCGACGGCGTCACCGTCTCGCGCCTCACGGGCTACCCCGTCAACGCGTTTCTTATCGAGGGCGGCGACGCCGCGGCGCTCGCAGACGCGGTGACGGCCGCGGCGCTGGCGCTGCAGGGCGCGAACGTGCCGCACAACATGCTGATTGCGGACTGCGGGCGCAAGGTGTACCTGACGCCGCAGTGCTACGCGGACAAGCAGGCCAAGGGGCTGGTGCCGGAGCACCTGCTGGACACGGGTGAGCGGGTGACGCTGCTCGTAACTCGGGTGATACGGGTATCGAGGATTTATAGGGTGGCACGCCGGCACGACAGTTGTGCCTAGGCAGCGCGCTGCTGCGTCGCCCACCACCCTGCGCGAGCGCCCCCGCTACCGCACGCCCAGCCGGAGGCTCATCCGATTTTTCCCATCCGTATCATCCGCGCAACCACTCCGCAGGCGTCAACCCGGCGGTCTGGGAGGTGACCGGCCACATGGTGCTCTTCCGCCAGGCTGACTACGACGCGTTTGACCAGGACCTGGCCTGGGAGCTGCTGGCCGCCATAAGTTTGACCGAGGAGCGGTTCCTCGAGGTGGCGGCGCTGTGCTTCGGCCGCGGCCCCGAGGAGGCCGCGGCTGCGGCTGCGGCCGCAGCCGCCGACGTGGGCGGGCTGAGGTGCGGCGAGAGCGGCGCGGGGGAGGGTCCGGCGGCTGCGGCGGCGGCGCCTGAAGTGGCGGCGGTGGAGGCCTAGGTGCGGCTGAGCAGTGGTGCGTGCCGCATGGCGGATGGAGCAAGGGCTTGAGCAAGCAGGAAGGGCGGACCTAAGGGCTGCTGCTCTGTGCAGCGCCTTTGGTTTGGGAGGCTTACATTGGGGCCGTGCCTAGCCGTGGCGCTTGCCTGCCTGCCGGCGTGGCAGCGCCCGTCAAGCTTGGTTTCTAACCTTTGCATGTAGGCGCAGCGCAGGAGCAGGAAGCCGCCTTGGGGGTGCGAGGTCAGCAATACCACCGAATTCGCCGATTTTTTGCTGAGACCGCACTTCTTCGTCGGAGGGGGACGTGGTGCGCACCATTCTGCTTGCACCCATAGTTCCCTGGGCACTGTCAAGTGCCAGTGCCTCTGTCCATGCAATCCGATCTCTCCGAGTCAACACGCAAGACCCCTGCGCCCATAACAGTAGCAGCGGTTTTGTTGTGCACTTACATGACACGGCCGGCTGCTGCAGCCGTGCGTTTGTGCAAGGTGCGATGGTGGCTGTTTAAAACGTTTTTGGGACAGAGCATACACGGCCAAACACTCACACACATGCATGCGGCCAAAACACGCAACTTGCTGTAATTGGCTTCCAAGACATAACAAACATCCTCAACCGCAAAACTGACAACCACAGCGACGAAATTTGGCATGGGCGCGCACAAGCGATTGACGAGTGCAGTTCAGCCATGACAGCCGCGTCAAATGCAGGGTGCCGGCGCAGCAGCGAGCGGCCGACACTTCAAAAGCACCGGCCGGAGCAAGGCGTGCGCTGAGAGGGGACCCTGCATGCTGAGAGGGGACCCTGCATGCTGAATGAAAGCATGAAACGTGCCTCAGAATCCCCTGGAGGTCTGGCGGGGGCGGTCACGCACAAAAGCTCGGTCGTTCATGTGATCTAGTGCTGCAAATTCACGACACCACTAAGAGGCCACAAAAAAAGGAGGCCAGCAACTACCGCCGAGCGTACCCGCCATTTAACGCGCCGCCGCCACCGCCGCCGCCGCCGCCGCCGCCGCCGCCGCCGATGCGGTAGAGGCTTCCAGACATGCTGACCCCCGTCACGCCCTCCTCCTCCGCCTTCAACTTCTGGATGTGCTGCTGGCGCTGCGAAGTCAGTTGGCGGGGGTTCGTGGCGGTTGGGGGAGTGGTTGGGAGAGGCCACGCGGGATGCCAATGCACCACACTGCTAGCAAGCAGTGGTGCTGAGGCAGGGGCGCGACCGGCGATGCTGAGTCGCCTCCTGCCGCCCCCAGCCGTGCTGCAGTGGCTCGACAGCGCCGGCCGCCATTAGCGGCATCAGCGTGGCACCCGGCCTGAGGGCCAAACCTACAACCGATCAAGGCGCAACCTGACGCAAGCACCTGCAGCAAAGGGCCGAAACGATTCAAACCCTGGACCCCTAAACAATGAGCCCCGTCGCCCCGACTCCTGCGCACCTGCAGGTTGAGGCCCCGGCCCTCGCCGATCACGTTGAGCAGCCACAAGCTGCACAGCAGGCTCAGGAAGTGGCCCAGCAGCGTGTTGGTCGCCGCCTGCACCAGGAACACGTCCAGCGCCAGCACGGGGTTGTAGGTGCCGGCCGCTGACGCCATGAAGGGGTTGACGCTGGCGTTGGAGAGCGTCTTGGCGACGAGCACGCCGACGAGGGTGGAGATGCCGAGGAGGGTGGAGCCCATGCCGACGACATTGATGAGGACACCCTTGGTGATGTTCTCGATGACCTGCGAATCAGAGTATGGAAGAACCAGAGGAGAGTGTCTTCAAGCCGGTACATGTTTAGAAACAGATGTGTACGTGCACAAGTAGATGAATGGGGACATGTGTGGCTTTACAACGTGTATGTACGTTATTCATGATTCAGGGGTTCAAGGGTGGGTGTAGACCAGGCAGTCTCAGATGCAAGGTGGCTGAGGGGGTGACGGCCCCACCCCTCGGGCCAGCTGGCGGCGGCATCGACCGCGACAGACGCGCAGTCCGCCTTCACCATGCCACTCGAGCGCAGATGCTTGCACAAGCGCATGCGGACCACCACCGACATCTTGAGGGGACACACACACACACACACACACACACACACATATACACACACAACCCATACACGCAACACGCAACATGGCAACCAGCAGCGAAGCCCCTGCAAACGTGCAGCCAGCCTCCGCGCACCGTCTGCTTCTTGATCTTCGCCACGTCAGCGCCGTCCAGGTACTCCTGCATTCTCATGCTGACACGCTGGTATCCAAATGCCCTGTCACAAGCGTCAAAACATGGGGGAGAAGAGAAAGGGAGGGGGACGCGGCTCGAGCGTGGCGGCTGCTAAGTCTTGGCAGGAGGTTTGGCGCTTTGACTGCCTGCGCCGCGGACGCGGCAGGCTGCCGCCGCGGGCGCTGCGGAGACGCCGGGACTCACGCAACCCGGCTGCTTGGCCCGCCGGCGGCTCCCGGGGTAAGCCGCGGGCCCATTGGCAATACCGGGCTGGCTGGCGGTCGCGCTGGTGGCCCTCACCAAAAAGTGGATAGGAAGCCTGCCAGGATCCCAATGAGGGTCAAGTACAGCGACGCCTTGGGGCCGCTCTGGCGGGCGCAGTGAGGCGGCGGGCGCGGCGAACGCGGGGGCAGCGTATTGGGGTTGGTGACCCTTGCCACGGGTAGGTTGCGGTGGATGTGCGGGTGACGCTGGGCAGGCCCCCACCCCCTGAGCCGCCGCCGTCTGGGCTCGGCGGCGCCGTGCGTGCGGCCCGACCGCCCGGCGCACCTGGGATGTGAACGCCACGCTGAACAGCAGGATGACGCCGGAAACGATGGACAGCGTCAGCTGTATCCAGAACGCCAGCCAGCCGTACCGCCGCATCGCCGCGGTCGCGCGCGCGAGCGCCGCGCGCGCGGGCGCGGACAGCGGCTGGCCGCTGGAAGAGGAGGCGCCGGGGGGGTAGGAGAAGGTGTCATTGGGGTTGGCGGCGGCGCTGACCTGCGGGAAAGGGGAGGGGCAGGAGGAGGCAGGTGGGGGGAGGGCAGGGCGCGTC